CGGCAACTGTTGTTGTTGATTGCCGTCGAATGGAGCACGACTCATAACCAACCCTCTGAACAAAAGGCCTGAAGCCTTCCTATAACTATCGTCATTTATCAAAGTTCACAGCGTTTCCAGAGGCGTGTGGTATAGGAAGTGGATGCCAGCAGTGATGCTCTATCAGCTGAGGTCAATTTGACCAGAATGATCAGATCTGAATGATCACGTGATTTTAGGGGAATGAATGGTTGTGTGCCAGTGGGTCGGAAGTGACTCCTAACTGACCCTCCAGTGGGTAAGCAGAGGCTGTAAGTGATGCGGGAGGAGACTGCCTATCTTCCCCGCAGAGGACAGCTGATGGATTCAAACTGTATGCCTCTGGGTTGGCAGCACAACTCCTCACCCACGAGGCCACCACAGCCTCACTGATATCTGTTGAGGCTAAATTATCAACAAGGTCAGATCTTAAACCTCCTGTGACTTGAGAGCTACCTAAATTTGCAAAACAGATGGTAGAGGCAACTATGAAAGCACATCGATGAGGGAGCCTGCAATTCTGGCATGTTTTGTACCTCAACTGTATCAAGGTCAGTGTCCTGGATGTGATGATGTACTCATTTTGAAAGATGTGGCCAGTGGAGGGCATCGGGCAAAAGGGCACACAGATCTGTTATTTCTTACAAATACTTAGGAACCTACAATGATCTCCATGTAAGAAGTTAAAGAGCCACTGTTAAAATGGTAAGCCTTACATTAACTTCAAAACTATCCTAGACAACAATTGTCTTTCATTTTCATGACAGGGTGAAGTAGAAGACTCCAGGTTATTTTAAATTTAGCAAGGACATATATCCAGAAGGTGGCGCTGTGACACAGTGAACACAGCAGAGAGCCAAACCCCAGGCCAGCCACCCAAACCTCACTTTCAATACACACAAGGGAAATACTAGAATTTCCTCAAGCAACTCAGCAGTGTTTTCAGTAAGTCTGTACTTGAAGTTTGGGAAAAGCAATGCATTTTCATAATTTTAAAAACGGGTACTGGAAGGGAAGTTGAAAATACAGAATCATCAAAACGTACTTTTTGCCAAACCCTCCAAAAGACGAGTCTTCACCAACTTGACATTCACATCACTGTATTTTTAATAAGATCATTTCCTGCCCTGACAGTCCTGAGCAGAGCTGCTTTGTAACAGCACTAGTATTTCTGAAAGCAAATTCCTGAACTGCACTGAGAAGTCAAGGGAATGCTGAGAAGGGGATTTTGTTTGTTAAAGTAATGGAAGTTTACTGTGCCCTTTTTTGGGTTTCTTAAACAACAAAAAGTTTCAAATTCTTCCAAAGGTAAGAAGTGTCATCAGTTAACAAAAACAATTACTAAGATGACTGAAATATTTTCAAGATCTGCTTTATCCAATGTCTTCATTTAATCCGACTGTCCCAACTCGAAAATGATGCCTATCACCAGGAAAGGAAAGGATGAATCCAGGCCTCGGAAGGCAGCACTCCTAGTTTGAGTTAAAAATGTTTGTTTTTTTTAAATAAGGTTGAGTGCTATTTTAAAGACCAGGTGATCCGTTTCATTAGTCTACAGTAAAAAATTTGACAGCTCAGTAAAGGATACAGAGGACAGAAAGAGAGCAAAGCCCAGCTTTGTTGCCAATTTGTTCCTTGGTTTTATTCAAGACGCCTTCCTTTAGGTGGGGGTTGCATTCTTTTAAGCAAAGATATCATTCTAAAGACTAAGGTGCACCTGCCTCAAGCCATGGTATTCCCAATGGCTTCACAGACATAACAAAGCTGGAAATGAATGAGGAAGACTGAAGAACTAATGCCTTTGAATTGTTGACAAACAGAATATACCAAAAACCCCAAACCAATCTGTCTTGGGAGAAGTACAGAGTGCTCCTTGAAGGCAAGAATGGTGAGGCTTTGTATATACTCTGGATAGGTTGTTTAGAGGGCCAAGTCCTTGGACATCAGTCCTGGAAAGGAAGGGGGTAAGAGGAGAGCACGATTCTCAATGAAATGGTTTGACACAGTTACTACAACAATGGAGGTTTCCTAGGATGGTGCAGAATTGAATGAGGTTTGATCTGTTATATACAGAGTAATACACACGTAATTTCTATGTGCCCGAGTCATCCTGACAACAAAAACAGACAAGGCTTAGAGTGGCCAACCTTCACAAGTCATTCAGCTGCTGTAAAATACTAAAAAGAAAGCAACAGATGACCAAGTCCACTCTGATACCAGTCCTGGGCAATGGCAGAAATAAAATGGAACCATCTGTGCCCTGCCAAGGAGCCCGGTGGCAACCAACAGGTCGGCTGTGACTCTATCAGCCGCTCTTCAGAAGAAAGGCTGGCGATCTCTGACTGTTAGAATTTACAGTTTGACCTAATGGAGGGCCACGCACATTATGAGTCAAAATTGGCTGAACAGCAGTGGGTCTGGGTTACTGGAACCTCAACACAACATGAAGCCGTCTGTCTAGGTGAGAGGTACATGGGTTCAGGTGATTTTGCTGTGTTTCAGAGGACAGCGCGAAGTAGCAAGGGGTAACAAATCGGGTAACTTCTTGAATGAGGCAGCACAAGGCATGATGCATGCTTGGGAAGGATTTGACAATAGGGTAGACCAAAGACACAAAAGAGGTTGTTTTATAGAACATCTAAGACTTCTTTATAGTGAAAACACTCCATATTTCAAAACAGTTTCTTATACATCAAAGTAAGTGGGGATGCACTTTTCTCCAAAGTGTGAAGCTCATTTATTATATTTATGCCCTCTGCTCTCTTCATTTAAGAAGTACCTGAGCTGGAGTAGGCACCAGACCCCGTCCTACACACTCTGGGACACAGTGTTCACCAGCGGACACTGAACATCTGCTACTACTAATTCAGGGTTTTACAAGAAGTCTCACCATTTAAAGGGAGGTTTGTGTACCTCATGTCCACCTGGGGTCAAAACACCTCCTGCACCCAGAATGACCCACCAATAACCAAACACTACAAGCAGCCCAGGTGATCACAACTGCACTACTGCACTGAGACAAGCGTCGTTCATTTTGCTTTTGAGAATACATTTTTTAAAATTTTATAAAATAAGCAAGTTTTAAAAACTTCTTTCCTGGTACACTTTCATTTCCTTGTTCCAAAACAAATGGGCGTGTGACACGTTAGAGGAGTTCTGAGCAGTTTATTCTCAAGTCGTTACAGTGCTCCACCGTCTATCATACAAAGACCACAGGCAAGAGAGTCAGCACTGTGAGGACAGGAAGACCCCCATTCTGAGAGGTGTTATGGACAGAGAAACAGTGCAGCAAATACTAAGGAATTCCGGTTTTGGACAATTCAGGTGTGACGTATTTACAAGAAAGTATAAGTTTTAAAATAATTAAATAATTTTCCTAGAATTATAAAAGTAGAGATAAATATTAGGACACTCTGACAATCACAATGTATTCCTATGCTATTGGATATAAGGATAGTTCTAGAAAAAGTCCCAAAATAGAATATTCTGCTGCCATGAAATATATCAAATTACCAATACCAAAATATACTAAAATGAACATGCAATGGGAAAGTTATAATGGCATCAGACCTTGAATACTGCAAAGTGTCAATATAGGCTTTCGCAGACGTGTTCATGAAAAACTATTTTCAAAAGAGCCGTTACAGATGTTTGGCAAAAGTGAAAACTACTTAGAATCCTGAGATTCTATTTATTTCAGACACCGCTGCAAAAGTAGAGAAACCTAAACGTAACTTCAGAAACATATTAGCTTATGAATAAAACAGTTGTAAGGTGCCTTCTTGATGCACTTGGCCTTCTCAGTGGATGCTATGTGTAACGGACAGATCTTAACCCCATCCGCGACCGTAGAAGGAAATTCCTCTTTCTCCCCAAAAAAGTCAACTCAGAAAACAAAATGGCAAAATGGTGATATGTATGAATTCAGAACAAAACAGTACTTTAAAATGGCAAAATATCATAAAAATAGCAGCATGTGAAATTCAAGACTATCTTCTTAAAGCAAATGATTAAGACTGAGCTGCAAAATCGGCGTTTGCTCAAACGATCTAGTGCTCAGTGTGTTCAACGAAGGGTTCCTTGGAAGGTGCGGTTATTCATGATCTCCCATTTTAAAATGGGTACGTTAACGTTTTCAAAAACATCCATATTGCACAGGTAGAAGAATGTCAGCTATCACCAACATAAAATGCTATCTTAACACAGGAAAACACACTGAAAAGGGTCAAGACAGGCACCCAGCAATTTCAAACACGCCTAACAAGAGGAGAGGCACAGGCACTTGAATGTGGGGGTTAGTAACGACTCAAGAGGCCGAGGGTGTGTGACTAAGGGCAGTTATCAATTATGTCATTACATGGAAATCGAGCTTTTCACGGACCCAAATATAGAAATGAGATCTAGTTACAAAACTGATAAGAAAATCACATTTCCTCAAAAGCTCACATCATTTTTCACTGAATAAAGCACTGAGTGCTGTAAGTCCTGAAGCATTTTCAAATAAATGTCTAAGATACACGTGGTCTGGTTTCTTGCTTTCCTCTCTCCCCCAAGACAGCCCAAAAGCCTCCCTAGTGGCCTAACACTGTCCTCTACATCTAACTTACCACCCACTCTAAGACCCAGGGCAGCAAAAAGGAGTCTTTTCCAAAGCAGTCCACATTGTGATATAAATTTTACAGCACCACAGACATCATGAGTTTGGATCTTAGTCTGGCAATATTCCATTCAATACTATTCATCAAAAAGAATGCATTAATATCAAACACTTAAAGGAAGTCATAGAAGCAATTTTCAAATGGCCAGAGTAGTTAATCAGCATTTTTAATGTTTTAAATTGTTGAACATTTAAAGCATCAAATTCACTAGGAAAAAAAAATACCTCACACACACACATACACACACACAGTTATCATCCACATAAGAGCACACAAAGCTTCAGACAGCTGGCACTGAGTCACTTCAGCTTTTCCTTCCTCTTAAAAGAAATGACACTGAGTTTGGCCACACCCTGGACTCTTGGTTTCCCAGCATAGAGAGTGTGCGACTACAAGGCCGCAGAACATGTGCATTCAAAACCATTTCACTCTTGATCATCTTTGGCGAGAAGCCTCCTGAAGGGAGATGAAGGGGCGATGAGGCGGTCGAGCCCTTCCTGCATCTTCACACGTCACTGACCGGAAGGCTCGCGTCGTCCAAGTCCACAGGGCCGCCGTCCTTCTCCTGAGGGCCGTTGTGACTCTGAGCTCTGGGAAGAGCTTGCTCGCTCACTTTGTGAGCTGGTTCTCTTGGAGAGACAGTCTGGACCTTGGAGTTCCCTGGCTTGACCTTGGTAAGAGATTCGTAAAATCCTCGCTTCTCCAGGGCAAAGCTTGAGACCAGAGAGCTGCTGCGAGTGGCTGTGGAATGTGGGGGGGCTGCAGACGCGCCTGCGGGCCGGGGGGCGTGTTTGGATTCTGCAGGGCAGGTGGGATGCTCCTGGAAAGAGGGGCGGTGGTCAGACACGGTCAACCATTAATGATAAGGTTAGTAATTGTGTGAGACTTAATTCTCTGAAAAACAAACACACCACACAGACACACACGCACGCACACACAAAGCAGAAGCGTGAGTCGTGGTTGCATAAAAATGCAAGTTCCTCCCCAAAGCAAAGCGGTTTTAGGGGTGAGTTTAAAGCATTGACAGCCAAAACCATTTCCACTAAGAACCCAGTTCTGTCACCAAAGCCAAACATGGCAGCTTATGGCACTGAAGACCCGACTGGCCCAAACCGGATGGCAGCATTCCGTGGTAACGGAACTGAAGAGAAAGCCTCCCAGCCTTGATGGTTTATGTAATGTACGAATATATTCTCATCAACTCTAGGAACTATGCCAGATAGTTTAGGAAAAGTACAATGCACTATGTAAAAACAGTTGCTTTTAACAGGCAGGAGTCTGAGAAAGGCATGAGTTTTGGCTTTCCTGAATTTTGCTGCAATCAAGTAAAGTGTTACCTTTTTATTTAATTTGATTATGAGTATGTTATCTGCTGATTAGGTGAAGATTTTAAAGGTAACAAAGGGTGCACTGTAAGCCATTTAAAATGGTAAACAATTAGTTGAGCACACGAATTTAAAAATGCGTCTAATGAGGCTGAATCTGAAGGTGTTCCTTCAAAATGACTCGTGATGGAGTACTAGTCTGTTGTGTTCATTTGATACTAGGTGCTTTGGAAGCAAACTGCTACAAAGTCACGGGCCACCGTGGATGGCCATCCGATGGCTGCATCTCACCTGAGATGTGAAAGGCCATGCCCACTGTAATGCACAGGTATCTCAGGTATGTGCACGTGTTACCAGACAGAGGTGCATTTCATGGGTTGCATGTAAAAAACCTTTCAAGATACAGGAAACACAGAAATGGAAACTGTGGCAATTTAGAAAACTCCTTTTTGGAAACGAGCTTCCTGACTTTCTCATTATTCTTACTGACTACACGTATCCAACCTGATCCAATCTGATGCCTAGAGCGGAAAGGACTGAGTTAGTGTTGACAAAGTCAGTTATGGTAACTGCCAAAGGCAGTCTGGTTAACTCAACTTGGAATGATGGGCTGTGAGTGGTGTAAGTCCGGCCCTCTAGTAAGAAGGCGCGTGTGCGTGCGCGCCCACATGCGTGCTGCATTCACCAGCGCTGCAGGTATACCTCTGAACACAAGGGTTCGACAGCCTTCTGGCCTGCCGCATCTGGAACACAGTGCAAAGCTAAGATTAGAGTTCACCTAGACTGGGGAGAGGGAGGAACAGACGGAGTTTGCCGACAGTCAGAGCTGGTAGCCCAGGTTGCCCCCACCACAAAGCACAGATGGCAGACGCCCTGCTCCAGGATTCCCTCTTCCCAGCAGACACTGTTTTTGCAGAGAGTCTCATACATGACTGCTGAAAAGGTCACAAGAAACACAGGCAGTTACAAAACCAACACCTCTGAAAGGAGCTACTTTTCAGATACTCTGAAGAGGAGAGAATGACTTGAAACAATTAAAAAATGAGAAAAATGGATTTCGATTTACTGTTTGGTGGGTCCTCCCATCAGGAAACTAGGAAAAGATGGTATTTATACAATACCATTACCAGCAAAAAATTGCAGAACTACAAAATGTCTAGCAGCTGTAAGAAATCCGATAATGGTATCACACAATCTATGACACTACGTGCTGCAGACTCAAGTGCCACAGAGGCGGCATCGCTTCATGCCTGTGGCATGTGCTGGGAGGGAGGACGTCAGGCGATTCGGACACCCTCATAAACCTTACTGGAGCTCTGGCTGTTCTCAGAACTAAAGGCTGGCTCACGTAGGCAACAGCAGCAGCCTGGCCCCCGGACAAAGCCCGAGAGCCCAGGCCCAGAGCTCTTTGCCTCACCTGTGGCCTACCCACGGTCCAGGGTTAAGAGAGTCTGGATCAGGGGTTTTTAAAGCCATGTGGAGGCAATCCGAAACAAAAGGGGAGTTCCTTTCTGTTTGGGACCACAGAAGCATACGGGGTTGAACACTGCCTGATGAAATGCACACTTGCATTATAAGCAACTTTACAAGTATTCCTTTCTCCAGTAAAAAAAAAAAAATTATTTTCAGATCAAAGACCAGTGATCAAAATATTCCAAACTAAAATGTAAGTCCTATGATTTACTTGAAGACCATTAAGTAAACATTTTTCTTTCTACATATTTAGTTTCAATTTTATGATCATGTTAGCACAAAGATAACTGTGGCCGGGAAACCAGGCAGCCTTTTAAAAGAAAGCCCTGTTAGAAAATGACATTGGAAAGCCGAAATGGAAAATTCTGACAGCATTACCGACAGCAGGGAAGGATTCAGCTGTTCAGTGGACTGAGGGCTCCATATCTCCCCTCACCTCCCCCTTTCCCCCCCAAAAAAACTTCACAGAAACTAGAGGCAGTAAAGAGGAAATGGGGTGCTCACACACCTGTGCAGTGCCGTAAGAAAAGGCATCAGGCATGATTAGGCCATGTAGCAAACTAAGACCCACTGAAGTTATACCAAATGTAGCCTGAGGGCCTAGTGAGAATCCCTAAAACAAAGCAAGGAAACATTCATCCTTTAGTCTCCTTCCTTGTGCATTTAAGACCATACAATACACAGAAAAGTCTATGTGCACAACACTCTAAGAAAGCATGAAATTAGAAAGGCATTATTTTTTGCAAGTCCAACTGGTATATCAAAGTAACATGCAAATACATCTCAAAATAGGGAGAAATCAGGGAGGATTAGAGGGAGCGGAAGGACAAGGACTCGGCAGCATGTGGGGACCCACAGGAGAATCACCCCAGCGAGCAGGGCACATACAGAAGACGCTGAGCGGCCGGGTCCCCGCTGGGCGACGATGGCGCCCGAGACGGCTCTGATCCAGCTGTGCATCTCCTCGGGGCTGTCGGCCTAAGGAAGGAACACCAGTCAGAGGGCTCTGCCTGAGGCAGCATCTGGGCAGCAAACCCAGCAATGGTGTCAGAACCGTACAGTGTCACCACTAACATTTTAAGGCCATGGTTTTGAAACGTTTTAGAGGTCTCTTAAAATCAGGTGCTGTTAGTCAAATTTTCCCAGAGGGATGTAAGGAGGGCATTTGACGTTTTTAGAGTCAGATTCTTCAGAAAGTGTCAGTGACGACGACTTCCCGAAAGAAAGGGAGAGGAAGAAGCTAAAGGTCTCTTCACTTTACTCCACTGCACTTCTATCTGGATTGAGTACAGGACAATTACTGAACTGTGTCCTTACCAACCACTGGACCTGACTCTCAACCTTATTTTCCTACAGATAATGTATTTAGAGGAGCATCCTGAAGGTTAAAGGAAGGACCCTCTACAAGATTAAATCTTTTAATAGGACCTGTTGCAGAGATGAATTTACATGCCTACTGTAACATTAATCCAAATAAACAATCAAAAAAAGGAAACAGATACACTGCTGCTTTTGTCTACACTCTACAATCTAGCAAAGATAGAACGCATATTTTAGCCAATGATATTAACAAGACTTTTTAAGAGGGGAAAAAAATGAAAGGAAAAGAGTGTGCTTTCACTCATTATTAATGGAAGCACAATTCTAGAAAGCAGTCTGGTAAAATAAAGAGGCCTAATTTCTCTACCCAGACTTTTATCCTAAAGAGATTCAGACAAAGTTACAGATGTTTTACCGCTACATTATTTATTATAGTAAATGAATGAAAATACGTTAGTGAATGTCCCGTAAAAGGGTAATAAGAGAAAGTGGTTAATTGTGGACTGTAAATTAATGGAGCAGTCCTAAGAAGAGTTGCAGAGAATTTTAATAATGTAGACAAAAATGACCACAGTATAAAAACCATTTAAGGGAAAAACAGCGTTGGCAGTAAGACCCACAGTTTTAGCAAGAGTTTAATAAGAGCAGTGAAAAAAGAGAAGCCGCCTGTGATTGCTGTCGTGTGCTGCTGAGTGAGAACGGACCCGGGGCGGGTTTTCAGAGGCAGTTAGATGCGTGGAAGGAGATGCCCATCCTTCTCCCACGAGCAGCTGGTAGATCTGAATTATGTGCCTTCAGGATTACAGTGCAGTTTCCTAGCTTTAGGCCAAAAAGGCTCCCTTTATCACAATTCATAATTGTGATTATGAATCTTCTATAAAATCATATTCTCTATTCCCTAGTCAGCAATATGCATATACAGCATTTTCAAAAGAAAAACTAAATACTCTCTTAACTATTTTACTATGATAACCAGAAAGTACATTTTAAACATAAAATATAGCATGTCTACCATTAGGCATTACCAAAGACCTCTGGTGGCCTAGTTGGTAGGAAGTTTTACTCTCAATCCAACACCCAGAAGTTCAAATCTACCAGCACCTCTGCAGCACAAAGATGGATTTCGCCCCACCCCTCCACCCCCCCATATGATTTAAGCCTCTGAAAACCCACTGAAGGGTCAGCTATGAGTCAGTTCCAACTCGAAGGTAAAGAGTTGAGTTTATTAACCATTAGAGAAACGCTAAGATCCACTGTCTCTTATTATGGGTACCTTATAAAATTATATATAGAAAATAAAAATTCTAAAATACATGCAAAAATAATCCACTGTGAAGGCACACATTGGTATCTAAGTTTTAAAAGTACTGTCCTTCTTACAAATAGTACGTAGCTCTATTTGATTAACCCCTCATCCTAAGTATACAACCCTGCCATTAATCCGCTGTAGCTGTGTATTGCTGAGCTGGATCTGACTCATAGCTGACCCTCCAGGGGGTTTTCAGAGGCAGTAAACAGCACAGGAGGAAAGTGCCCATCATTCTCCCCTGAAGCAGCTGGTGGACTTGCACTGCGTATCTTTGGGTTGGCAGCACAATTCCTTCCCACTAACCCATCAGCGCTCCCTCAATACCCCAATAGCCAACAACATTTTATTAATAATCATTCTATTTTTTTTTAAATTCATAAGTAACAAGCTCACTATTTTACTTCAAAAATTATTCATTTCTTGTTAAAAGGATCTATAACTCCAAATAACTATCTTACCTGCACGTAGAAAGTTCGAGATGTTGTTACAATTTCAAATAGGTTGTCCCTCATCATTATGTCACTGTTAATAAAAGATGGATCCAGTTAAATAGCAGTTGATGGACAGTTCTACTTGTTTATCAAGTACATATCAATAAAGAAATAAATATTAAAGTTAAATTTCAAACAAACCAAATTTTTAAAAACAAATTTATTTTGTGTTACTGCATTACATTGTATAGTTCTGTATTTTCTAGAAAGAGTTCATAAAGCCATTTTAAAATTCCAAGTTTTCGGCTGGGAAGAAATCCAGTTGTTCAAAGAAACAGTGGTACAGCTAACACATCTTGTCAAAGTTCTATTGCGCAACAACCTTGAACTACCACAATTAATAGTAATATTTTGTATGTGATAGGCTGTTTATACTGGATTTTTCCTTTGGCATTGTAAGCTAAAGGCTGCTTCTTCGTTTTTAGCTTTCTATAAAACAAAACAACAAATTCTTTTATAAGCAGATTTTGAAAATTCTACCAAAATACAACTGTATCCCACTGGCACTGATCATCTAACTCACATCAACCTGGTAAAAAAGACTGAACTGAGCCACAGTATTTCTAAGACTTATGAGAGAAAACGGCCTCATCTTTGTCCCTAGGAACGGCTGGTGGGTTTGAACTATCAACCTTTTCTTAGCAGTTGAATGCTTCAGCACCACAGCACCAGCACTCCTGTATACAGCTATACACCCGACAACAGGATGGGTCTAGAGACCAGCACCTGGAAGCACATTAAGCAAGCTGAGGCCCTGCCATGAGCCAGGGAGCTGTGCCAGCCACTGAGCCCCTTACCTCTGCTTACACTCCTGGACTTTGTGAACCTCCTTTAGTGGTATGACCCGCAGAGGTTCCTTATCCTGTCAAAAAAGCAAATGGACAAATGACATTTTGGGGTGGACTGTCCTTTTAAGAGTAACTCTTTTAAGGATTAGCAGTCTTACCCCAAGATCCATATGGGAATTGTGCATATTTCTTTTTTTCCCCTCATTAATTTTATACTGATTTTTTTACAAAGTTCAGATACATTGTTTTTCACACAAGATCCTTCCCATTTCCTTCACCTCCTGCCCACATGGAATTGTGTAACACTCTGATTAACATCCCACACCCCGCCCATTTCCCCCCTCAGCTTCCGCCCTCCCCTCCTTGGATCCTCATGCTCATTCTACAGTAATGGTTTATACAATATTTGTCCTTATGAGACTGAGTTAGTTCACGCAGCATAATGCTCTCCAGTCCCTCCCATGTTGGGTAGTAATTTATAAAATGATTGCTCTTGTGTGCTGCATAGTATTCCACAGTGTGAATGTATCATAATTTCTCAATCCATTCATTTGTAGTTGGACATCTGGGCTGTTTCCATGTTCTTGCGATGGTGAATAACACTGCTATGAACACTGGTGTACAAGTCTCTGTTTTAGCCTCAGAGCTCATTTTCTTGGGGTATATCCCAAGCAATGGAATAGCTGGGTCATACGGAATTTCTATGTTCAGCTTTCTGAGGAAATGTCAAACTGTCATCCAGAGTGGTTATGGTGAAAATGACAATCCTACCAAAAGCAATCTAAATGTTCAAATCAATCCCGATACAGGTACCAAATTCATTCTTCAAGGAGATCAAAATGGAAACTGTCGAATTTATTTAGAGAGGAAAGTAACCCCGAATAAGCAAAACACTACTGAGAAACAAAAATGAAGTGGGAGGCATAGCACGTCCTGACCTCAAAACCTACTACACAGTGGCAGTAACCAAAACAGCATAGTACTGGTACAACGACAGGAACACAGACCAATGGAACGGAATTGAGAACCCAGAAATAGACCCAGCTGATATTCGACAAGAAAATAAAACCTATCAAATGGGGAAATGACAACCTCTTCAACAAATGGTGCTGGCAAAACTGGATCACTACCTGCAGAAGGCTGAAATAGGATCCACATCTCACATCATACACAAAAATCACCTCAAGGTGGATTAGAGAGACCTGAGAGTAAAGCCCAAAACCATAAAGTTCATAAAGGACAAACTGGGATCAAGCTTAGAAAACATAGTTTATGGTATATAAAGAGACTGTCAAATACAGCCAGATATGTACAATCTGGATAGGACAAAATGGATGAATGGGACCTTCTAAAGATTAAATCCCTGTGCACATCAAAAACTTTTTTCAACAGGGTGAACTGTGAACAAACATTTGGCAATACCATCTCAGACAAGAGTCTCATAACAAAAGTTCATAATCTATTCCTGGGCCTTCACAAGAAAAAGACTGATAATCCAATTACAAAATGGGCAAAAGACATGGAAAGAATTTTCACAGAGAAGATATTCAAATGGCCAACAAACACATGAAGAAATGCTCCAAATCACTGGCAAGAAGAGAGATACAAAAAAAAAAAAACCACAATGAAATACCATCTCACTCCAGTAGTAACCTGTGGCAAAGTTTAATAAGGCAGCAAGTAACAATGTTGAAGGGGATGTGGGGAGATAGGAACTCTTTATACATTATGCTTATTTCTTGAAACACATCCAAAATATAAGTCTATCTAGGCAAAAAATTCTACACTAGAAAACACCAGGCACTAAGAACCACAGATGCATGGAAACCAGCACAGAGCCCACGACCCTGTCACCCTGGGCACTGTTGCTGGGACCATCAAGTCGATTCCAAATCACAGTGGCCTTATGTGACAGAGAAGAACTGCCCATAGGGTTTTCTAAGCTAGAATCTTTACAAAAGCAGATTGTCAAATTGTTGGGGGTTTTTCTGCAGAACTGCCCGCGAGGCTCCTACTGCTGACCTGCTGTGGGAGTTGAGCGCTTACCTGGTTCTCCACCAGGATTCTTTTTCACATCACTCTGGCTTTTTAAAGACACTCTCTCATGGTCAGTGAGTGGAAACCAACTCTTAGCTGACCTTCCAGTGGGTTTTCAGAGGCTGTAAATCATTTGGCAGGAGAGTGCCCATCTTTCTCCTTTGAAGTCACTGGAAGATTCGAACTGCCTGCCTCTGGGTTTGCAGTGCAACTCCTTACCCACTAGGTCACCAGAGTTCTCTATGCGACTTTTCTGCAACAGGCTCTGGGGGCCAGTAGCACAGCGCTTCCTCCTGCAGTATGGGTACCTGGAGCTCCATGGCACCGACAGGTCCAGACCCACTCTCTCTGACTCAGATTTGTCAGTTTCTTTTATGTAAATACAGCAATTATTTTCACAAACTCTGTTTACTGGACATTTATTTAGTACTGAAACATCTGCTATATTTTTAAGATGCAACTTTAACAAGACTTATACTATTTCAAGGAACAGGTAAGTATCTTGCCTAAGGTCAAAAAAGAAGGCATAAAATGCCAAAGACATAACTAGTGCTTAGTAACAAAGTGTTGACGTAGTCCGTTCCACGGAATGACACAGATTTGGTGCACAGAGGAGAGAACAACGGGAGGGAGACAGGCCGTCACTGCATGTGGCACTAAGGAAAAAGGAGACCATGTCAGTACTTTCAATCATGTAAGGATTTTTCTTGGGTCTTGAAATTTTAGTTTTAGATAATCTCAGACTACGGAAGAAATACAAAAGCAGGACAACGAATTCTTGTATACTTTGCAGCCTATTTTCCAAAAGGGACTACTTATTAGATGGAATTTTCCTCTAAGGAAAAGCTTTTCCTTCTCCACTTGGGCCCTCATGACTCTTTAATCTGTGATCTAATGCTATCATTATTTTTTTTCTTCTCAAACTGTCCCAGTCTTGGCAGCCACTGGGAGCTCCTTTGAGCCAGCTTCGATGCTCTTCTGAGACATTTCTATTCTTTTCTGAGCCATTCCGTTACTTTCTGGCGAAACTAGATGTTCCAATCACAGCATGGACTTTCTGTGCCCTGGCTCTGAATTAGCCATTTCTCAGGGGCTCTGGTTCTGTGAAGGAGAATGGCATTTACAGGTGCTTAGTGGTCAGCGTTGCCCATCTCTTCACTCTACTCCGGCTGCCCACTGCCTCCTCTTCTCTTCTGTCTTCTCTCTCCTCAGTCACATACAATAGCATGAAAGAATGGTCTAGAGTTTATCCAACCATTGCGTCACACACAGAAATTTTGGTTATGACCCATTTTGTAGTTGCAAACAACACTGCAGTGAATACTTTTAATGCACTGATACTCTCTTCAAGTTGGAAAGTATCACAGAATAAATTTCTAGCTGCGGGAATGCGGAACTGAAAAATAAATGCATTTGTAGCTTTGTTAGACAACGCAAACTCCTCTCCAAAAAGATTTCAGCAATCTGTACTGTCAGCAGCAATGAACGAGTACAGGCTGACCATCATAAAATGCTGTCCTAATGGTTCATTCTTGTCAATGTAGAAATGAGGCTACTTCAGTGCACTTTGAACTTGACTTCTCTATAAATAATGTATCTTTTTATATAATTAAAAGCCTTAGTTGTTTTAAAAGAAAGGATCTGTTCTTACCTTTTGTAATTTCATCTACCAGATACTCTTGCCCTCAATCTCCTCTCTTTCAGTGGGAAACAATCTCAAACTTGCAGTGGGTAAAAACACTGTTCAAAGAACAGATGTTCCTACAGCACTTCAGAGTAAGCCGCTGACCCGAGCCCACGCCCCTGTCTGCGGGTTTAACACCTTCTCTTGTATAATCACCACACAGCCATCGCACTCAGCGCACAGTTCTCAGAATGTCTTCCTTCAGGATCACAAGCCGCATTTCCTTGTCACATCTTTGAGGCTGGAGCAGCGCCTTAGTCCTCCCAGAACCTGTCACCATGACACTCTGGGAGGTTAGGGGCTAGTTACCCTGCAGACGTCAGCATGGGCTTGGTGTTCCCTCAGGCCTGCTCAGGCGCGAGGGCCTTGGTCAGGAACAGCACAGCAGTGTTGGCTCATTCTCCTCGCTCTGTCTTGTCAGATACATGAATTTCTCTTCACCCGTGAGGCTCATGTTAAACCTCTGACCACTCAGATACAGCGGCTCTGTCGGCTTCTTCAGTACACTCCTCTTTTTTTCCCTTGAAATTCAGAGGTAGTTTGTAGGCAGGTACTTTTTGAAACTATCCAAATACCATATTCCACATCAAACATACATGTACTTATTGATACGTGTATCGGTTCCTAATCTAGTCAATGGGTGATCTGTCCTCATCATTCATCACGATGCTCAAACTGTCCCAGACTCGGTCGCTCTCCAGCTGTTCCGAGTCATTCCGGGCGTCTGACTGCGTTTACTTACGGTGCGTTTAAATGTGCCCACACGGAAAGGGCCCTTCTGTACTTCAGATATCCATTTTCATCCTATCTCTCTCCTGAGCCAGCTCGACTTGCTAGAGGCAGTGGTGGAAAACCTCACATCCAGATTCCTCCTCTTCTAAAACACATTTTGGCTCAGTCAGTGAAGTCAGTGTTTTCCACTTCATTCCATTCTCCGTGCCAAAAAGATCCTCAGTGACGCAGCATTTCTCTAGAACGTTCCACTTTGTCAGCAAGACGACCTTCCCAGCTGCCAGCACCTTGTGCTGAAGGTCTTGACCAATGATGCAGGAGTGGTCTTGTCAAAGGACATTTCCACCTGCAAGGAATGATGGCTGAGTCCCACCTATGGCCTCCTCTCCTGGAGCAACTTTGTGACCGGAGACCCCAGAAATGTTGACAGGCCTATGCACATACGCATGGGGGTGCTTCTTATACACTCTTGCAGAGTCAAATGACTCACAGTGACCCGACAGCCAAAAGAGAACTGACCTACAGGGTTTCCAAGATTGGAAATCCTTACAGAAACGGACTGCACATCAGTCATATGGAGCAGCTGGTAGGTTTAAACCACCAACTTCCCAGTTAGCAGCCCAATGCTTAACCCACCGTGGCTACGGCTCCCATACACACCTTACTAACTCACAATAATAATTTAACTGCATTATCAGTTTTCTAACCACTCAATATTCTTCTGAATTCTGAGAGTCTAGTTTCCCGACTTCCAATGACAGCTACCTCCTCTCAAGTCTCATAGCATCACGTCTAGACACAACGTTGTTAAGTACCAGTGAGCCAAGTACGACAACCCTACGAAAATAGATCTAAACTCTCTTCTACCTGTGCCAACCTCAACCACTGACGCACTCGAGCCTGCTGCTGCACTCCCGTCCATCCTGGTGAGGGTCTTCATCTCCTTCGCAGACCCTCCACCTTTCTAAGTACGATGTCCTCCTCCAGGGAGCGGCCCCCCCAACAACATGCCCACAGCTTCACCATCCTTGCCACCAGCGCACATTGTGGCTGCACCTTCTCCAGGCCTATCTGTTCATTCTTCTTCCAGTCCATGGGATAATTAAGTATGTAATCAATCTTCAAAATGTAATAAAGTTCTATAATTTTTATTTGTATTAGAATTATGGGGAGGGGAGTCACATGCCAGCCTATGAGGAAAACGGAACTATTAGCCAGACACCATCTGTGACGACTTGTACTATTCCAGTTTCTGGGACAGGGCACAGGGACCATGAAGCAGGATCCAGGCCTGCAAAAGCAGTGGTAACATCGGGTGGCTGAGTCTGACTTCTAGCCACTTCATAAAGGGGAACTGTCCCCATCACTAACATGCAAAGTACTAAAAGAATAGCTCCATGGTGAGACATGCCCTCCATGAGCTCCTCCACCTATTTCTACAAATCACTGGGTTCAATGTTCATTGCAAACTGGCTCACAGACTTTACTCACAGTTACGGAGTTTATTAGGGAGATGGGTTAGGGGGCAGGGCAGTGAGGCAAAGAATACCACACAACGTAATTCCTGGTTTAGTCTTGCAGTCCCAAACCAGATTAACAAGGCATAATTCCTCAACTAGTTCAAATAGCTTCTCAGTCAAAAAGTGAAAGTCTAGGTTCAGTTCAGCTGCACAAGTAAACCTCTAGTTTCTTTAATCAGTCCAACAGACTTTATCTATGAGCAATTACAAGTCCGCTTTTCATTCAATCATCCAGCAAGGAAAACCTTTAACCATGGCTCCATCTCCAAGGTTCCCCTGGTTACATCCTTCCACACTTACTTCACAGTAGTGCCCCAGTCACTGTCTCTCCACCACTGTCTCTCACAGCTCTCACAGTGTGGAAAGCACTCTCTTACACTGGTCCCACAGCTATTGATACCATGTATCTATAGTTAAAGTAGCTGGAGACCATGCCCCCAATGGGGGCTAACACAATAGATAAAAAAAACAATTTTCAAGGTTTCTGACACCACAAGAACTATGGAACAGACTCCAGGACTGTGGAACAAATTCCGGGATTATGGAACAGAGTCCAGAACTATGGAATAGGACTCTGGGACTATGGTACAGGGCTCTGGGATTACGGAACAGGATCCAGGACTATGGAACAGGCTACCAAGATGATGGAAAGCTCAGCCAGCTGTATGAGTGACTCTTCCCAAGAGCAGTGGCAGTAACTAAAATCAGTTAATTAAACTGCCAGGCTGGCACACGTGAAGCCTTCTGAGACACCAAGGCTGATAATTTATAGTCAGTTGAGAAGCTCATTTACTTTAGAGGCAAAGGCAAGTGCTCACACAACTATAAAACCCAATGGGAAGTATGATGACAGAAATACCTCAGGGCGCTAAGGGCACATAAGGTGGCCTATGACAACTCTGATAAACGTACAAAGGGTGCCACGGGCACATAAAAACATACTCCAGAGCCCAAAAGCTTCCCAGGAGAGGTGACCTACAGCGACTCTGATAGCCTTCTCCTATCTTGTGTTCCAGGGTTTAACACTGGAGTCATCAGCTATGTGGAGATATTTATGCTAATTAAATAAATAGAACTAAACTTTTTATCTAAAGTCAACTCCTCAGTAACAGAATCTAAAGTATAAAACAGCCCTTTTGGAAAAAGCCTTTTATTTTTGGACACTCACAGCCAGTAAATCCATTAGCCACACTGGTGACACTCAACTACATTTCCTGTACTGAGGGTCCCGGACGACACAGTCCAGACTAGTTCAGTCAGGACAGGGCATTCCACAGGACAGTTCTCTTGTGCTCTTTCAAACAATGCACACAGACCCCTTCTCAAAGGTCTCATGACACAAGATGACAGGGGACAGATGCTTACGGCTGAAATTAGTGACAAATTTATCCAACAGTCGTCTATTGCAAGGTTCAGTCCTCTGACAACATTTTAAATAAGGATATTGCTTAAACAAGTCAATAAGGAAATTACTGTATTTGAGTATACCTTTAGATGGGACTAAAAAAAAACTTACATGAAAAGTTTTAAGAGTCAATCTGAAGTTGAAAGAGGAGACAGAGAGGCAGAAATGCAGAGCGCTAAAGGTCGGTGTGGAGATTCATTCCATCAGCTCCTCTACTGCTCTTTTAGAGAATATCTAGGGACCTGGAGGTTCTCATATTTTTAAATTTTCAAGGTAGAATGTTTCTTTAAAGATCTTCTTATTAAATAAAAATATCATTATCTAAAAGCTTCACAATAAAATAAACCAAACAGTCTCTACCTCTTAAAACCAGAATTTATTCTAGAAATGAAGAACAGAACAAGTATTACATATACAGAGCATAAAGCTCTCCAAACATTTTTACAGCTTACCAGTTCAGATTTGAAGTAGCCTATTGTGTTTTCATCCAACTGAAAATATCGTCTCTTCCAGTTTTTCATCTGCAAGAATAAACAAAAGCTAAAACACCTGTTTCCAGCATGTCTAAATGATAAAAACCATTATTCAAATTATGATCTCAAATGCCAGTTCATGAAAAACCTACATGAATCAGAGTTGCCTGAGATTTAAATACAGCTTTACTCATAGGCATTTTACTTCCAAACTTTAAAAGTTTATTTTCTTATAAAACTCTAATACTTAGTTCACACAAGGAAGGACAGCCTTATTTTTAGAAAAGTACTTTCAGAATCCTAGAAATGTTAAGTTTACATGCTCTTCCGGGAAGGTCTCCACCATGGATCCAGCTGTATGATGCATCAGGGCTGGCACATACAGCTACTGCCATGCTGACATTATGATGTATGCCTTTAACAAACTTTGAACAGGAGATTTTAGAACTTCTCCTATTTCAAGAAAAAAACTCACAAATAAGCTGAGACCTTGAACTAGTGCCTAGAGATAATCTTTAAACTTTAAACCAAAAATATTCCCTCCCGTCTTCTTAAACCCAACCAATAGCTTTCCTTACACAATCACACCTAACAGCAACTAGTAATCGGGTGTTCCTGAGCATAAAGCTTTTTAAGATTTTTAAATTTTTTTACAAACTACCCATCCATATGGATCAAGCTGCTGACCCCAGCAAGCAACAAAGATTAGATGAGAACCTTGCGGGACAGTCAATTTGTGTTGAAGTGGGAAAACCAGCTCAAAACAGTGAGCAGGTGCACATGCCACTCAACTGTATGAGGATAAACTGTTGCTCTAGTGCCCGTTCTACTGTTCATAGTCTCAACAATAAAATAAAATCTGAAGGGGGAAAAAAGGGCCAAGAGCCTAAGAGGTTAAATAAGGAAGGTCACAGAGCTCAGTCAAGGTCAGTGCAACACCAAATCAAGTTTTCAGGCTCCTGGTCCTGCTATTGCACGGTTCTTCCCAGGGCGCACGCCCCACCAAGTGGACTGCCATCTCCTGGTTTATTTATTTGTTTCATCTCCTGTTTAAACTCTCCTTTCCCACTCATTTGGGAGGGAGAAAGTTCATTTCCTCTGACAGTCATAGCAATGGGCCGAATCCGTGCCGAGTTCTGAGCAAGAGTAACCCAGCCTCTCCCCCGGCTCCCCTTCTCAGTGAGCTGGTCTTTCATAAAGGACAGCCAACAACTCCCTTGTTAATCAGAGAACTTGCTAACACACACCCGTTTTTCCTATTTTCCAGGCTTGGTTAAGATACTCACCACAGCTCCCTGCTTTACACAGTACCCGGCTTTGATCACTGCGCTGTCTGGAGGAGGTTTCGGATTAAAGTAATGAAGATGGCTTTGGGATCGCTTCAAATTATTTCTGTCAACACTTTCACCACATTCACTGACTTCTTCTTTCTAAGACAAAGAAAAACAGCTTTTTTCCTACCTCAATTAGTTCTAAGCGGGCATTTATTTCTTCCATGATATTATCCTAGTGTAATTTCTAGGTAGTTATTTAAGTCCAATCAGAAACAAAGATATTGAAGAGTGGTAATTAATATGGAATACTCAATATTAACCTTCTTGTCACTGACTAAAGCACACATTTCTGTACATTCATCCTGTTCAGCAAAGTCCTGCCATCAATGGGGGTTTCTTTTGGGGGGGGGAGTGGGAGTTGACTTTTCATTTTGAAAAATATGTATATATATTAGAGAGAGAGAGGGAGCGCACATAAGAGAGACAGAGAGAGATAGGAAGTTGCTAAATAAATAAGAACAGAAGGAGAACTCATACACCCTTCAACCAGTTTCCACCAACAGGGAAACCATGGCAGCTAATCATTACCTACATCACAACCAGGGGAAAGATCACAAGGCTGCTCACGTGACCCTTCGGGCAGTTGGTCAGTTCCCTAATTGTTGGCATTTGGTAATTTAGTCTGTCTCTATAATTTTGGTACTTTGTGAACGTAATGGAAAGAGAATTGCACAGTAAGTAAACGTCTGAGATCGCTGCCCCCTCCCTGCACTCGGCATTAACTCTCTGGAGATTCATGCCAGCTGCCCCATGGACTATTGGGTAGAGAGTAGTTCACTGTCTTCTTACCGCTGCGCTGTGTTCCACAGCAGAGGATGCTGAGCAGGTCGCCCTCTGGGACTGGAGACTGTTCCTCACATTTGGCTGTTAATGGGAGAGCGGCTGGGGATACTCACGTACAAGTTTTTCTGTGAGCACTAGCCTGCATTTCTCAGAAAGTGCATATTCTGATGGAAATGTGTTGGTGCTGTGGTTAAGCACTTAAATGTCAATAAAAACATTGGGGGGGGGGTTGAACCTGTCCAGCCTATCACAGAGGGGAAAGCCGTGGCAGTCTACTTGTGTAGAGTTGCACTAAAGAGTGTAGCCTTGGGAACCCTTGGGGCTGTTCTATCTACCTGGAGGGTCAGTATAAGTCAGACTGATGCAACAGCAACAGGAATATAGTGCAAATTCTGGTTTGTACAGTAACTGTCCGCTGAGTTTTGCGGTGTTTGTGTCCTGTACTAGCAATGTCTGAGTGATCTCATTTCTTCTTACCCTTGCCAGAACTTACATCATCATTTTCATTTTAGCCATTCTCCTGTGTAGAGTGAAGACAGTGAGCTCTAACAACACAGTAGCCAGAATTGTAGGATGTCAAAGTCATTATTTTGAAAGGAAACTTACACACACAAAAACACACATAGTCCTAGCTCTTTTACCTAACTTTGGTGAAAAATGTAAGCTATTAGAGCTGGGATTTTTGGTCACTATTTATTTTTGGTCCCTAGAATGACTAATGGATGGTCTAAGTCTTTCTTCCACTAATTACTCTCCTCAACCAAAAGTCCTAAAATACATGATGTGCAATAAAATTTGCTCTGAAAGGCTTATAAAGTGCAGGTCTTTCAAGTACAAAAGACACACAGCTCATGAAAACGCCCATCAATGCCAATATCAATTAAGTCTTTTAAAGTTTTTGCTTTCTCCACCATTTTACTTTGCAGTACAAACTAATACCCTCAATGGTGGACAGTGACAGAAGATTGTTATGCTCATATAAACATTGCTACATTTAATAAAAAGCTGTATGAATTTATCCTTAAAAACTGTACTGTTTCAGGAGTTTTAATTGTAAGACTTTTCATTACAGCACTGCTTACAAAAGGAAAAAGGAACATTTTCCCAGTAACAAGGATCTGTAACTATGGGAAGTCCACAAAGGAGCTACTGTGAAACCTGCACCTGACGCTGTGAAGCAGTTCTGACTCTGGCGAGGCGAGTCCGGGCTTAAAGAGGTGGCTTCAGGTGGACCGCAGTGAGAGTGGCTGTCCAGGTGCAGTGAATGTGTGGCCACCAGATGCACCACAGACACAGGCTCTCAGATGCACAGCAAGTGATCAGAAAGACCACCACCTGAATCAGATGCATCTTAGTCCTCAAAATGACATCATTACTTCTCAATAATTTGGAGAGGTCCTTAACTACAGATTTTCCCACTGCAATGTGTTTCCTTATCCCCTGACTGCTGGTACCAAGGGTGCTAATTGTAGATGAAAGCAAAATGAAGCTGTTGACAGTTTCAGTCTCCTCTCCATCCATCATGATGCTGCTATCGGTCCGGTGGGATTACATTGTATGAAACAAGAACAAAGAAGATTTTCCTCTGAGAAGCGTATCTAAGTGCACTTCTTGCTAATACTTCATTTCTGATCTGCTAGAACATTTCAGCTGCAGCTCTTGGACTAGAAGTTGTTTATACTGCATTAAGATACTGAAGAAAATTTTAGTTAAATTTCTGAAATATAAGGAAGGAAAAGTGACTGAAAATGGGGCAGAAGAAAAGAGAAATCACACGCATAATGGATGAATGGAATAGACAGGTCACTTATACAAAGAGAAAGTCCGGAATAATGAAGAAAGCCTATGAACTTAGTGTGCTCTGTGACTGTGAATAAGCATTCATCATTTTAAACAGCTCTAACAAAACTGTTTCAACAAACAGATGCTGCCCTGGATGTGCTCACCAAATTATGCCAAGAAATCTGGAGTACAACCACGTGGCCTACTGACTGGAAGCGATCTATATATATGTTCACATTCCAAAGAAAGGTGATCTGACAGAGTGTGGAAATAATTAAACAATATCACTGATATCACATGCAAACAAGATTATGTTGAAGATTATCCAAAAAATGACTGCAAAAGCACATCATCAGAGAAGTACCTGAAATGCAGGCTGGATTTAGAAGAGGTCGTGGCACTAGGGATATTATAGCTAATGTCAGATGGATCTTGGCTGAAAGCAGAGAGTACCAGAAGAATGTCTATCTACGTTTCACTGACTATGCAAAGGCATTTGACTGTGTGGATCACAACAAACTGTGGCTTACTCTGAGAGGAATGGGAATCCCAGAACACTTGATTGTGCTTATGTGAAACTTATACTTGGACCAGAAGGCAGTCATCAGAACAAACCAAGGAAACACTACAAAGTTCAAAACTGGGAAGAGTCTGTGTCAAGGATGTGTCCTATCTCCAAATCTCTTCAATCATGTATGTGGAACAGATTATCCAGGAGGCTGGTTCAATGAACAGAATTGGCATCAGGATTGGAAGTAAATTCATCAATAATCTGTGTTTTGAAGATGACACAACCCTGCTTGCTGAAACTAAAGAGGACCTGAAGCGCTTGCTGCAGAGGGTCAAAGACTGCAGCCTTCAATATGGATTGAAGCTCAACATCAAGAAAACAAAGATTCTCACCACTGGGCCGATTGGCAGCATCATGA